CTAGTGATGTTTCATCTTTGTACTTCGTTGATGTTGTTGAGCCAATTACTCAAGAATTGTTTGAGTTATCTAACGGTGATATGTTGGAGATGATCTTGAGCAAAGGACTCGATTGTGGGAAGCTAGCCGAGCAATTAAAGTTTTATTCTTTGGATCCGGAAGTTGAGAAGTTGGTAAATAAAATGGAAATGAAAAAATCCACAAGATTAGATGTCAAGCAAATTGAATTGTCCCAAACTCATACAAAATTGTCTCCATCCCTTGTTCAACCACCCGAGTTGGAATTAAAGGTCTTACCTCAACACTTGAAGTATGCCTACTTGGGAAAGAATGAAACCCTTCCGGTTATCATCTCAACTCATTTAACCGAATTTGAAGAAGAGCAACTCCTCAAGGTGTTGAAGGAGCATAAAGAAGCTATGGGTTGGACGATTGCGGATATCAAGGGTTTGAGCCCCTCCACTTGTATGCACAAAATCTTAATGGAGGATGAATGCAAGCCAAGTAGAGACGCGCAAAGAAGGCTAAATCCACCAATGATGGAAGTCGTGAAGAAAGAGATATTAAAGCTTCTTGATGCGGGGATGATCTATCCAATCTCGGATAGCAAGTGGGTGAGTCCGGTGCAAGTCGTTCCAAAGAAGACGGGAATCACGGTGGTCGAGAACAACAAAGGTATGATGGTTCCCACCCGTGTGCAAAACGGGTGGAGAGTATGTATTGACTACCGCAAACTCAATGCGAGCACACGAAAAGATCATTTCCCATTGCCTTTCATTGACAAATGTTAGAAAGGTTGGCCGGGAAATCCCATTATTGTTGTCTAGACGGGTACTCTGGTTTTCACCAAATCCCGGTGGCACCGGAGGACCAAGAAAAGACAACATTTACATGCCCATTTGGTACTTTTGCATACCGGAGAATGCCATTTGGATTGTGTAACGCCCCGGCCACTTTCCAACGTTGTATGGTTAGTATCTTTTCGGATTATGTTGAAAACATAATTGAGGTTTTTATGGATGATTTCACGGTACATGGCAACTCTTTTCAAGAATGTTTGACTAATCTCACAAAAATTTTAAAAAGATGCATTGAAACAAACTTGGTTTTGAATTTTGAGAAATGTCATTTCATGGTGAGTCAAGGTCTCATTTTGGGTCACATTGTGTCTAAAAAAGGAATTGAGGTAGATAAGGCAAAAATTGATGTTATTCAAAGCTTACCTTACCCGACTTGTGTTCGGGAAGTTCGTTCTTTTCTGGGCCATGCAGGTTTCTACCGAAGATTCATCAAGGATTTTTCAAAGATAACAAGACCAATGTGCCAACTCTTGCAAAAGGAGGTCGATTTCGAGTTCAATGAGGCGTGCAAAGAAGCTTTTGACAAGCTCAAAGAGTTGCTTACATCCGCTCCCATCATGCAAGCACCAAATTGGGATCTCCCTTTTGAGATCATGTGCGATGCAAGCAACTATGCGATTGGCGCCGTTTTGGGTCAAAAGAATGGGAGGGCCTCCCATGTGATCTATTATGCATCAAGGACACTAGACAATGCCCAAAGCAACTACTCTACCACGGAGAAGGAGCTATTGGCCATAGTGTTCGCCTTGGAGAAATTTAGACAATACCTACTTGGTACCAAGGTCATAGTGTATTCGGATCACGCAGCTCTTAAGTACTTGATGACGAAGAAAGATGCAAAGCCGAGACTCATCCGGTGGATCCTACTGTTACAAGAATTTGACTTGGAAATCCGGGATAAGAGCGGATGCGAGAACCTCGTTGCCGATCATCTAAGTCGGATCATTTCAAATGAAACTCCTCTCCCATTGCGGGACGAGTTTCCGGATGAGCATCTCTTTTCCCTTACCCAATCTATTCCTTGGTATGCCGATATCGTTAACTTTTTGGTCACAAAAAGGTATCCCGACACATTCACGCGTTCTCAAAAAGACAAGTTGAAAAGTGATGCAAAATACTATGTGTGGGATGAACCTTATTTGTGGAAACATTGTCCCGATCAAATCATTAGGCGATGTGTGCCCCAACAAGAGCACCAATCCATTTTGCAATTTTGTCATGAATTTGCTTGTGGGGGACACTTCGGACCTAGCCGGACTTTGAGAAAAGTCCTTGAATGTGGATTATTTTGGCCAACCATGTCACGCGATTGTTATATGTTTTGCAAAAGTTGTGAGCGGTGCCAAAGAACGGGAAACATTTCGCAAAAGAACCAAATGCCCCAAAATCCAATCCTTGTTTGTGAAATTTTTGACGTATGGGGGATTGATTTTATGGGCCCATTTCCCGTGTCATTTGGCAACGTTTATATTTTACTCGCGGTTGACTATGTTTCTAAATGGGTTGAAGCCAAAGCCACAAGATCGGACGATGCCAAAACGGTTATCGAGTTTTTAAAGTCTAATGTTTTTGCGAGATTTGGTGTGCCTAGGGCTTTGATTAGTGATAGAGGGACGCACTTTTGCAACAAAATGATGGAGGCTCTATTAAAGAAGTATCACGTGACTCATCGTGTCTCCACTGCCTATCACCCTCAAACGAATGGTCAAGCGGAGGTGTCGAATCGTGAAGTGAAGTCTATTCTAGAGAAAACGGTGAATCCGACAAAGAAGGATTGGAGTTTGAGACTCGACGATGCCTTATGGGCATATCGGACCGCTTATAAGACCCCGATTGGAATGTCGCCCTTCAGATTAGTTTTCGGAAAACCTTGTCATCTTCCCGTCGAGTTAGAGCACCGAGCATTTTGGGCGGTCAAGAAATGCAACTTCGACATTGACGAGGCTGGAAGGCATAGGAAACTTCAACTCCAAGAGCTAGAAGAATTGAGACACGAATCCTATGAAAACGCAAGGATTTATAAGGAGAAAACGAAGCTCTTCCACGACAAGTCCATCACCCGGAAGAATTTTGAACCGGGACATAGGGTCTTACTTTACCATTCACGGTTGAAGTTATTCCCGGGCAAATTAAGATCAAGGTGGATTGGCCCATTTGTTGTAATAAAGACTTTTGATCATGGAGCGGTGGAAATCCAAAGTGAAGAAACGGGACATATTTTCAAAGTTAACGGGCACCGATTAAAGCCATTCTATGAAAGTTTTAATGCAAGTGTTATTGAAGTCATCCACTTGGATGTCCCGGAGTGTTGAACCAAGCTAGAAGGACGTCTCGCCTAAGACGTTAAAGAGAGGCATTTTTGGAAAAGCTTTATGCTTTCGTGTTTCTACGTTCAAATAAAAGAGTTTTGAAAATGTTTTGATACGTCTTTTGAAGTCATTTTTGAAGAAATCAAGAGTTTCTAGGTGTTTGGGGCATTTGGGATCAAGAACTAGTGAAGAAACGGAAGAAAACAGAGAAAAATCGAATTCCGGGAGCAGGAGCCTGCGCGACCCGCACAGTGGTGCGCGGCTGGTGTGCGCGGCCGGTCTTCAGCATGCAACAAAGATCAAATCCAAACTGCAACATGTGCGCGACCCGCGCGCCCCCTCTGCGCGACCCGCGTGCTGTTCTGACGAATATCCCCTATTTTGTTGACCAGCTTTGACTTTCGTTGACCAGGTGGTTTAATGAGTTGACTAACATTGACCGGGTGTTGACCACACTTGTATATGGATTAAAAACCTCCAGCAACTCTTCTTCTTCATTTCATTCTCTCAAAACCCTCTATTCTCTCTCAAACTCTCAAGAACACATACACCCACTTTTCACAAAAATTTGATTTCCCGGAGTTCCACCGGTCGGAATACGACGAGACCACCACCATTCTTCACCATTTTCCGTGCTCTACAAACCCCACCTAAAGTTTACCACGAGCCATCGCCGGATCTAGGGGCGCCACCACCACCCATCTCGCGACTTTCCGGCCATTTTCCGGCCAACTCCCACCACCTCTCGCAATTCCGACACCACCAAAGTGTTTCTTTTTCGGGGATTTTTACATCTAACCAAACAAAACCTCAAAATCTCACAAAAAAATTTTCCCATAATTTTTGAGCCACCACGAGCCGCCGCCGGATTTTTCACAAAAACCAAGTTGAAAATATCCCTTCAATGAGCAAGTCTTGCATTTAGGCACCCACGAATAACCAAAGCTTGGGGTGCACGGTAGCGGATTCCGGGTTCAAGTTCAATTTTGGGATAAAACGGGTATTCTCTTTCCTTGGTTTTTATTACATTGCATTGTTTCAATTCAGTAATTGCATTCAATTATGCTTTGGAAATTGCCTAAGATCGTTAGTTGTTGCCCGGTTTATTTGGAAACATTGATTTGAGAAAGGTTGAGATTGGTTAATTTGTTTGGAAATTTGTTCAAAAATTGTTTAAACTTTGGTTGGGATTTTCTCATTTTGTCTCGTATTGCTGCCGAATTTTTGTTGGGACTACCAAATTAACCGAGTGTTGTTGTTGAAACCATTTTACATTGTCAAAAGTTGGGTGTCATTATTTCTTGGATTTTTTTTGTGTTCGGTCTAAAGATAGTTGCATTGATTTGAGAGTGGTGAGGTGAGGGATTACGTTGGTGAAGTTGTTTTTGATATTGTAGGTTTCGAAAATGGGCAAAACCACGGCTCGGACACGCACCCATGGATCATCGATCGATCCTAACCCTCAAAAAGATACCGCCGGTCCATCACGCCAAGCAGCCGGTAAACGAAAAAAAAGAGGAGAAGAGGGAAGCGATCCTTCCCTTACAAATGCTGAGATCAAAACCTATCGCTCCAATCTTCGGGGTCGCGCAATCCGGCCGACAAAATTCTACCACAAAAAGTCCATGAAAAAGCTTGGGGTGCATGATGGTGTATACCATTTGTTCATAAAACTCGGTTGGCGTGGTTTTCTTCGACTTTGTGACAGAACTTACGAGGAACCCACAATGGAATTTCTTAGCACCTATGCACGAGATGATGACACGAAGTCCTCACATTCCAGTTGAAAGGGGAACATCATAGACTCACATACGCAGAGCTTGATTCTATCATGGGTATAGACGATCCGTTCCGCATCAGCCCCCAAAGTCAAGAGTACCAAGATTTTCTGCGTTGCCCTGATGCAAACTTCTGGATGCAAATTTCCGGTCTCCCAACCTTCAACCCAAGCCGACAGCGAGCCAAGCACATCGTTCACCCCTGTTGGCGAATTGCTCACCGAGTCCTTACGACGAGTATCTTCGGGCGTCTCGAGCCCGGTCAAATCAACAGATGTGAGCTATTTTTCCTCCGAAGCATGAGGCATGCACTCTCCCTCAGTTTTTCAGGCTTCTTTTTAGACAAATGTGACTCCATACGCCAACGTTCCTCAGGGGAAATTTTCATCGGGGGACTTATCACGATCATAGGTCGAGCCGTCGGCCTAGACTTCCCGGATCCCGAGTACATACCTGTCGACACCCCACCGAACTTCCTGCTAGATTGTGACACTCTCATCCGGATGGAGATGTTGCTCGATCGGGGAACCCGCACGTACAGTTGGTTAGACGCTGACAAAGCCCCGGTTTACATCCTGCCAAGTTGGATCGGTTCTTCATTCGATACAGGCGACCCCGACACTTGGCTTCCTCCAGATCAATTGACCCAAGCAGGTGTATTCCCAGAATTCGGTGATGATGAGGGTGACGACGCAGAGGAACAAGAGGAAGAAGATGACGAAGAGGACGACGAGATGCCCGAAGCTGAAGACCATTTTGACCAACCCTCGATGCAACAGCCGATGTTTCAGCACGATCAGTTCCAGGCCCCTCCACATCATTTTGACCAGCCGCATCAGCAGGAGGGACACGAAGTCCCACCATATTTCCCCCCCACGTTCTTTGACCAATTTGCCACAATGTTCTCCACGGTGCAGCGTATCGACGCCCAAACGCAAGAGAATTCGAGAGCCATCCTAGATGTGGCAAGCCGTGTTGATCGATTGGAGCAGTCCTCCTCTCACACTTCCCGCCAGCTCCAGGATATGTGGGACTACCACCATCGCCACGGGCATTTCCCGCCACCCGACCCCCCGATCTAGGTTCTTTCTGCCCTTTCCTTAAGCATTGAGGACAATGCTTGTTCTTAAGCTTGGGGTGGGGCATTTCCCTTTTTTTTTCTTACTCTTTTTCATGCATTTTTAGTTAGGTTGCATAACATATTAGTTTAAGTTAATTTGCATTCATTTTTTTTATTTTATTAAATTTTAAAAAGATTTTATTTTCTTCTTTTCTACTTTTTATTTTTGCATAACATTTAGCTTAAGACATTAGCATTCATGCATTTTTGTTGTCTGTTTATTCTCACCTCTCTTGGATGCCATGGAACAGGTTCATAGTTATTGTATCATTATTGGTCCAGGATCTTGTTGCTATCTCACCCATCGAACCGGGACCACTAGCTGCAGTTTGGGATTTCATACTTGGGATCAGATGCTGGTAGCTTAAAGGGGTAAGTGATCATGGACAGGTAGTTTTCATGAAGAATTATGCATACAATACTAACAACTGTAGGATATACTATAGCAATGGGTGTTCTTAGCCTTGCGGTCACTACCGCGGAGAGGATCACACTTGATCATGTTTGAACTGTTAGGATGAAGCATTGGTGCTTGTCCCCGAGTAGAATCCATATCCGGTCTCTTTACATCACCATATCTTTTTGCGATTTTCTTAGAATTTAGAGAGTCTTTTAGTCCACATTTGGACATTTCATTATCTTTGAAAAACCACAAGTTTGAAAAGGAGCTACATTACATCTTTATGCTCCACACATGGTCATTTCCACACTTAGGCCATTCGGATTATATCATTACCCTTTCGGTTCCACCTACACACCTTTGGGAACCAAATTTTGAGTCAAAGGGTTTTATCATTACAAAAAAAAAAAAAAAAAAAAAAAAAAAAAAAAAAAAAAAAAAAAAAAAAAAAAAAAAACAAAAACAAAAACAAAATGAAGCATGCAAATTTTCAGTCGCAACTATCTTAGATAGGTGGCCGGTTCAATTATTGAACAAATTTCCCAACATCTTGGTCACCCGACGTTTGATATTCATTTGTATAGATTTGTTTTATTGTATATAGATCGAGTTGTTTTTCGCAAATTGGTGATGTTAGAGAGACTGTCGAGTCGGATACTACGGGAGGTTTGGGCCAACACTAAGTGAACTGATTCCTACAACGGTGCCCGAGCGATTAAACCTAGTTACACATGAGAGAAACCAGCAAATGTGAGATCAGAGTGTACACTTAAAGAAGAGCTCCACCCGAGCCCATCCAGTTGCTTTCTCCCTACTACAGATGTTCTTCATTGTATACATGTTCCATTGAGGCTGCGACTGCTCATCCCTCCTTACTCACCTAAAGGAGTTGTCCTGGCTGTGGTTTATGGTTCCATTGTCATCGGATGAAAAAGTTGTGAGATAGCAGCGAAATCAATTCTGACCATGTTGACTAACGTCGAACAGGTTCCATGGTTCTATCCATTCTTTTTATTTCTAGGGTAGTTCATCCCAAGTTCATTTAGTCTTGTCTTACTTGAGGACAAGTAAGGTTTAAGCTTGGGGTGATTTGATAGCTTCATTTTATTTACTTATTTTTATAGTTTATTTTAGTACATTTCATTCGCATTTTAGTTAACTTTCATGCATATTTTCCCTTTTGTTATTTTTATGACCATTTCGGGGTACTTTCTAGTTTCTTGAGCATTATTGCAGATTTTCGGAAACTAGCGGGGCGGCACTCTTGCGAGGCGATTGGGCTTGAAGGGAATTGGAGATTTCATGCTTGATGACTATGAAGGTGATTCATGGGGTGGACTTGTCAATTGCTTGAAGGCTTGGAAGAATTGAGCTTTAAATTTGAAAGATGCGGGGGAACATTCAAGCGTATGAAAATTATTAATCGGGCGAGTTCACGAGCTTTGGAGGATTTAGAGAGGTCAAATTGGGCTTTAAATGAAGAAAAACTTGAAGAAAATGGGCTAGGAGGTGATTGGATTCGATCTGGGCTAGTGGGATATGCTTTAGAGGCCCAAAATCTCAAAGGAGCCCATGTCAGGTACCACCCGCGCAACCCACCCGCGCAGCAGCACGCGGGTCGCGCAAGGCCCTGCAGGGGCAATTTCGGAAATCCTTCTTTTGAGCTATTTGAGGAAGGTTGGTGCCCATCTTTTGCATACTTGACATCCGATTTTTGAAGATTCTCTCTGGAGTTTTGGAGACTTTTGAAGGCCAAGAACCCTTGAAGAACATCATATTTTTACCTCTTGATTCTTGCTTAATGTTTGGTACAAATTTCTCTAACTTTGTTTCTTTGTGTTTAGCCATGCTTGGCTAAACTAATCTTGGTTGACTTTTGTTTAATCCTTTGAACTTTTGTTGAATGTTGAAGAATCCATGAACATGTTCTTGAATCTTTATGGAAATGTTTTGTGTTTTAACATCTTATCATTACTTGTATGTTTTAGTTCATGAGTTTAAATGTGTTTGTGGTGATTAGTTGGCTAATTTCTTGATTAAGTAAAGGATCCTCAAATTAGCAAGCAACAAATGATTTTTGTGTTGTTTTTACTTCACACAATCATAAAAACATTTCCTCCAACATGGTGGTGAAAGCATTTGACCCCTCTTGGATTTGGTGACTTTTTGGTTCTTAATGCTAGTTGACTTTCACTAATTACATGCTATTTGGAATTAGTGACTTTGACTAAGGAAATTGTTATGAGCTTCTCTAGCCATTTCAACAATTAAGAAAAGTCTAGGTAATCTCAAGCTCCTTGGATTACTATAGCCAAATTGAGGATTTAAAACAAGTATTGCACCATTGAATTCTAATGATATGTTCATCAAAAGTCAAAGTGAGAAAACTTTAAGTCAACCATCTTTCCCTTATTGATTTTACATCAATTTGTTGCAATTGTCTATTTAAATCATAGTTAATTCTAGTTAGTTTCAAGTATTTCAAAACACCAAAACCCCCCATTTTATTTTTATTGTTATTTTACAAGTATTTTTACAAAGAGATTTTTCATAGAGTTAGAAATTGAACCAATCTCCGTGGATTCGATCCCTTTACCACTATACACTATTTTAGTGTGTAACATTTAGGGTTATTATTTGTGTTGGCCTCGACAACCACCAAGATCATACTGAGTGATAGTAGTACAGTGGCCGACCCTCGAGGTCGCCAATAGTGTAGTAGTATTTGTCATCCCTGGGCCAGAAGGCTCGGATTGTAGCTAGTAGTCGGGATGGGGAAAAATCCACCCCGTATAGATCTATACATGTAGTGGTCGCTCTCCCTCCAGAAGGCAATGGTTATCCGACGATCGCATATCGATAGGTCGTATAGAGAGATAGTGCATCACATTTTGTTATAGTATTCTCTTACGTATGGTATATAGTGTTCTCTTAGTATAGTGTTAACGTTCTCTTCACATTGTACATTGTACATATAGCATTGTACTTGTACTGTCCATAGTGTGTATCATAGTGATATCAAAATGAGTAGTAATCCTTAACTATACCTATTATAGTTAAAATGAGTCCTTGATTTAGTGTCGTTGGTATGTAGAAGTATCGATCTAGATGGAAACTTTTATATCTACAATATATTCAAGATATATAACTAAATATTAAATGACAGTCGAACAGATAACCTAATACCCTAAGCCCACAATCAAACAAGAACAGGAAATAAGGTCAGTTATCAGTTCTAAGTCGTTTAATACCTATTTATATAATTATACAAGTGTAGATATAATTTGGAAAATAAATTTTTGGTTTTGAAAATATTAAAATGGTTTTAAGACAATTGATTTGTGAAAATGAGTTTGATAAACAGTTACAATAATTTATGATAAAACACTTTAACATGCAAAAATCCTTATGATACTAAGCCATCAATCACGTGTGATTAGTTTTGCAATGTATTGGGTTCAACTTGTATTCCCCCCTCATAAAACAATTAAAAACATTTGAAAGGTCAATTAAGGGGGTATGAACTCACTGTGTGACGTAGGGTTCAAGTGTGCTATCGCTACGAGTGTCAAGTGTCAACGGATGCTCTGAACGCAAGTAGCCCCTATTAATCATATGGTGACACATACATAATTTAGAGCTAGGGTGTTTCATGACTAAAATGATGAGAAATTACCCTAAGGACTTGGAATCACTAGGACTAAGTGTCCCGTATTCTATACTCAATGATTTATGCAAGTTTAAGGCTAAATATGAGTATTAGGGTGGGTGTATAACCATAAAAATGAGTGTGCGGCTGGGGAATGCGGCCAGACTTGTGTGTAAGGTTGCACACTAGAGTGTGCGGCCGTACACATGGGTGTGTGGCCGTACACAGGGATGTGCGGCCGTACACTCACTTTGGAGTGTGCTTTGGATATGTGCGGCCACCTGATGAAGGTGTGCGGCCGCACTCCTTCAAGGAGTGAAGAACACGAAGAACATTTTGAGTTTTGGGCTTGGATTCAAGTGTTTTACCTCTATAACAAGTTGAAAGATGATGTTCTTCCCGTTTTGGAGGCCTTCTAGGTGTTTTTAGGTGATGTTTTTAGAGAGAGAAAGTAGAGAGAGGAAGAGAGTGCAGCCAAAAGTGAATGGGAGGGGTTCTTTACTATATATAGGGTCGGGTGTGAGGCTGAAAGGGTTTGCGGTTGGGTGTGCAGCTGGCTGGCCGCACATACCTCTCTTGGTGTGTTTGGCAAGGTTTTTACGATGTAACACCCTTCCTAACCCTTCCTATGGCCCACATTCATGATATACTAAGCCTAAGACACTCGTGCGGACCCAACATCTTGCTAAAAGATGCTAATTTCATGTGAATTATAGATATATGGATCGATTTCACAATGTAAAAGTGTCGGGTTGTCACACTAAATTACTTATTTCAATTTATTAATCAAATTAATAAATCAACCACTTTCTCCAAAATCATCCTGTCTAATTGCTAGTCTTAAGTGCAACCCAAAAGGACTGTGCTACTATCAATTCAAGTATATACCAATTGTAGTTATGGGCTTAGACAC